ACTTGTGATTTCCCGTTGGTTTTGTTGTGTTGAGTTGCTCGACTTGTGTTTTCAGATGGGCTCCTGTGTGTATGCCTGTACGCTGTTCGGACATTCGTTATCTTGTAGTCTACTTGTTGACTTGCAGGTGAGTCGCGACGCACGTTTCGTTCTATTCGGGACTCGTCAGCTGAATGTATGTGGCGTACGTAGAGGATGTACCTAGTAGATTGCGCTTCGGCATTTGGAATGATAGATACTGATTTCGAATCTCAGTAAGAGCAACACCACTCACTGGGGTGCAGTTACATCCAGGTGATTTGTCTTTGTGTTTTGCTGTTACTGTCATCTATTAAGTTACCTGCTGATATGCAGGTGTAAAAATGCCTGCGTTTCCTGTTTTACTGGTATACTCAACAGAAATATTAAATACAACATGGTCTGTTTAGTATTCTGACGCATGATTATGCAGTGAAATGAAACCTGATGTAGGTTTCCAAATGCCAGGTTCAGGATCTGTTCATCATCGGTGAATGGTTTATATAATGCGAGAAATGTCTCCTACAAGGTCAGAAAACACAGAAGAAAGTCACTAATCTACTATGTTCAGGTTTTTTAGTTAGCTAACAATTGAAGTAAATGAGTGATATATCAGTGAAGCTTGTCATAAGTCATATAACTAACTGTTAGAATTAAGCTGCACCAATGGGGAAAAGTTAGTAAAAATTAACTGTAAAATGAGATAATTTTGATATGATTGAGAAATTCAAATAATCGATCCAAAACTAGTTAAAAACGTGAACTTGAGAATAGGTTTGTTTCGAGCGGGGATAACTAAATTCAGTCTGATGGACTTGTGGTGAGTTTTCAGCAGAATTTGAAATGATTCTTTGGAAAAGTCAAAAGTAAACATCGTTTCAAAAAGAATTTATCTTGCACTGGGTCTGAATAACATTATACAGACATTACTGGTGTCTAAATGCAATGAATGAGTAATTTTGCGAAGTTGGTGCATTCGCCTTTCAAAGACTGCGTTTCGTTTCAAAAGTTGTTTGGGGTTATGGATGTTAGTCATTGGAACAGTGTTTCTGGAGAGGACACCGGTGCAAAAGTACTAAGTAATCAAGTGTCCAGAGTATTTAGAAGAAATTCTTCCCCTTCCACCCTACGGTTTTTCGTCTCTAAGTAATCCATAGATGTGTGAATAACAAGTTACCGTCTTAGACCATTTTCATAAATGTCTATCAGCTTTTGTACTCTTTGAAAGTTGGCTATATTAGGTGTTAGAAATGTATTCTTTAGAAATACATCCTTGAATATTACCCTGCCTGGTTGCTTAAAGGAGAGTGTAGGTCAGTTAAAAGCTGTTGTTTTCAACATTTAACCAACTGTGCTCACTAGACCTCAGAAGTTCGTCTTCAAAACCACCTGTCGAGTTGTATCGAACGCCTAAAAACAAGTAGAGATTCATGATTTTCACGTTACCAGGGATTTAACGACTCATCAATTCAAATCCTGGTATTGCATGCTATTTTACTGGATTTATATATACACACCATCATTACCACTTATTATGATTATCATTTAATTTATTTCCTTCATAATGGTTAACGATACTCTCTGTCTCTCTTGCTGTAAATCATTTTATGGTGGCCTAGTTGTGATGTATTAACCGACAGTGTGTTTGTTTATTGTAACTATAGTCTATGATGGTACAACTATTGAAAATCATTTGAAATAGCTTTGTCTACAAGAGTGGTTTTGATGTAGCGGCATAGTGTGATTGAAGTTAGAAGCATATTTGAATCGTGACACAGTCGGAACGCAGGTCTGTCATACAATTTTTTCTTCTTTTAACTTAAAAATACAATGAGCGTTGAAATTTAATGCTAGTTAACTCATAAGTATAGTTTTTGGTATGTAAAAAACTATAAGGACCATGAATGGGTCTACTCTAATCTACGTTGTCAACAAATACTTATCAAATAATAGATTATACTTATTTTACCTTATCTACTTAAGGTCATGTTGATTACTGTACATACAAAGCAGAGATTATTTATGAATAGTTATGTATGTAAATAAAGTGCGACAGACAGCCTGAAAATAAATCAGAGTTTATTATTCATCTGGCTACAAGTTCTGCTTTCTTTCAGCGAACGTAATAACCATGTGAATCTATTCCAGTTGAAATAAGGATGTAACCATATAGAGAGAGAAGAGATCTGCTTGTGTATGAGTGAATTTTTTTGGTTACTTACCTTTCTTAATGTGTCTTCAAAAGGAAAGGATGGATTCTTTTTCCTAACTAAAAGATGAGGACTCCCTGATATAGTTTATAAAGCAGAACGATATGAAAACAGTACATTCTATGCTTCGAGAAGTGCTCTACTTTGCTAGTTAGTGAAATCGATGTCCTCCAAGGTGCTGTTCTTTATCACTTTCTTTTTCTATTTGCATGACCTATCCACCTCAGCTAAAGCTAACTTTGTTAAGTACGCAGATGACTTGGTAGCAGCCCTGCCGATCATCCCTTCTTCAAATTGTTCTCAGTTTAATAACTTCTTAACCGAAATTGGTCACTGATTTTCTTTAACTGGCCTTACGCTCAATCCTTCAAAATGTCAGATAGTTAACTTTACCTTAAGATGTGAACAAGACCCTCAAATTGCTTCACTCCCATGACTCTTGTCCTATAAACGGCTGTATTGTAGAGAATGTATCAAGTGTGATCCATCTTGGCTTATACTTTTCTTCCTATCATTCTTGGTCCCTTCATATCTTACTGATTTCCAGAAAAATCCTTCACTTGACCTCTATATAAAAAAACAGGCTGTCTGGCCTAACTCAACTTCTACTCTTATTATTATTATTATTATTATTATTATTATTATTATTTATTAATCACTTGGGTTCCTAATGGAACATACGGCTTCAGTAGCACGTCTCCAGTGAACTCTGTTCTGCGAAATCTTTTGAACCTGGCTCCACGACAGCCCAGAAGCTCTCATTTCCTCCTCGCACGATCTCCTCCATGTCACCCTCGGACGCCCAACTCGTCGCTTCCCATGGGGATTCCACTCGAGGGCCTGACGCATGATGTCCTCAGTCGGCCTTCTCAGTGCATGCCCAATCCATCTCCACTTCCTCCTGCATATTTGTTGCGTGGTAGGTTCTTGGTTGGTTCGTTCCCAGAGCTCCTTGTTGCTTATTCTTTCTGGCCATCTGATCTTCAGTAGCGAGCGTAAGCAGTTGTTGATGAATGTCTGTAGTTTATTGGAAATCCCTTTCGTGACGCGCCAAGTCTCTGAACCATACAGAAGCACTGACTTGACGTTGGTGTTGTAAATCCGTATCTTGTTCCGCATGCTGAGTGCAGAAGATCTCCACACTGGTTTCAGGCTGATGAAGGCCTGTCTTGCTTTTCCAATTCTGACTTTGACATCCTCGTCTGTGCCGCCTATAGTTGGGACAGTGCTGTCTAGATAGGTGAAGGTGAAGGAGGCTACTTCCTTTAGGCTTCTCCCGTTGATGGTGACTGGAGTTTGTTGTTGTTGTTGTTGGAGTTGTTGGTGCGGTATCTTCATCACTTCTGTATTCTCTATATTCACCTGAAGTCCCGTCTTCGCTGCCTCTCCTGCCAACTTGTTAGTTTTCGCCTGCAGATCCTCAAGTTTGTGTGACATCAGGCACAAGTCATCGGTGAAATCCAGATCTTCTAGGTTCTTTTCCGCTGTCCAGCCAGCGTATCCCCCTCTTCTCGCTCCCCACTGTTTGCTGCATGATCCAGTCGACCACAATCAGGAATATCATGGGGGATAGTAGGAAACCTTGTTTCACTCCTGTCTTCACTTCAAAATCATCACTGAGCTTCCCATTGTGAATTACTTGGCATGTGGAGTCTTCATATAGTTGTTGAATGAGGCGGATAAAGGTTTGCAGTACTCCGTAGTAATGAAGCAGTTTCCAAATTACCTCTCGGTCGACGCTGTCAAAGGCGTTTTCAAAGTGGATGAAGTTGAGGTAAGGTAGAGAGTTGACTGCCATGATGATGCGATGATGCCATGATGAGATGATGCGAAGCGTTGCAATTTGGTCCACATGATTTGTACTTCCTGAATCCAGCCAGCCTGTTCCGGTCATAGTTTTGAATCCAGTGCATCCTTTAGTCTCTCCGGGATGATGCGGCTTAATATTTTGCTTGGGGTGGACAGGAGAGTGATTCCGTGCCAGTTGTTGCAAACACTGAGGTCTCCCTTCTTCGGGAGTTTGACAAGGTAACCGTTTTTTCAATCTGCAGGTACCTTCTTTTCCTTCCACACCTTCTGCAATAGTGGTGTGAGCATGTTGCTGTTGTCTCTGCATCTGCTCTCAGTGCTTCTGGCGGGATCCCATCTCGTCCTGATGCTTTCCCACATTTCAGTAGCTTTATGGCGTTCAGGACTTCCATTTTTGTTGGAGGATTTATGTTCACTTATAGTTCAGCGGCTGCAGGTGGTATTTCTGGACGAAGTGCAGGTGGTGGTCGATTCAAGAGCTTCTTGAAGTGGTCGGCCCATCGTTTCCTTTGTTTCTCTTCTTTGGTAATTAAATTTCCTCCATCATCTTTTATTGGTTTCGTCTGCGTTGATCTCTAGCATCTACCATCTCTACCATCCCTGGTTATTTGATACAATGTTGTCAGGTCTCTCTTACCTGCAGCCTGTTCTGCTTCACTTGCCAGTGTTTCGTAGAAGTGTCTTTTGTTTTTCCGTGCACTCTTCTTCACTTCTTTGTCCAGTGTTTTATACATTGTGCTCAGTTCCTCTTGTCGTTGAGCATCCTTGCACTGGTTTATCTTCTGTTTCACCATCCTCCTCTCCCTTCTCTATCAGCTTCCAGGTATCCGTCGAGATCCATTCCTTATCTTCTTTCTTCTTCCTTCCTAATACGGTTGTGCAGGTTTCTTTCCACATCTCTTTCAAAGACTTCTAGTGTTCTTCCAAACAGGTTTCTTCAGGGATGTTCCTTGATATCTCCCATTTTGTCTTGATGGCTGACGTGAAGATGTCTTTTGTAGTTTCATCCTTCAGTTTCCGAGTGTTGTACTTCAACTGTGGTCTATCGCCAACTTCTTTGGAGGCTTTTAACTTGATTTGGAAGGTTCCTTGCACTAGACAGTGAGTGGTCTGAGCCTACATCTGTTCCTCTTCTTGACCTTGTGTCAAGTAGACTGCGTCTCCATTTTCTCGAGATTGAGATAAAGTCGATTTGATTTTTAGTGTGTCCATCTGGTGAAATCCATGTCGCTTTGTGGATACCCTTGTGCTTGAACACAGTGCCTCCAATCACCAAATCGTTGAATGCACAGAATTCTGCAAACAATTCTCCATTCTCGTTCATTTCACCTAGCGCCTCTCGACCCATGGTTAGTTTTTTTCCTGTGTTGTCCGCTCCGAGTTTGGCATTCATGTCGCCCATTAGAATTTTGATATTGCCAACTGACGTCTTGTCCAGTGTTGATTGAAGTTGTCTGTAGAATTCCTCCTTTTTCTCTTGCTCTGCATTATTTGTAGGTGCATAGCATTGTGTGATTGTGACCTTCCTTCCTTTTGAGTTGAATCTTGCTGTCATGATCCTGATGCAGGAGGAGATTGGTTCCCACTGCATGAGATCCTTCGATGCTCTTGGGGACATCATGATAGCCACTCCATAACTCAGTATGCCCGTGGTTGTCGTCTGGTTGACAATATCGGAGTAGGTTATTGATTCTCCAGTTGACAGTTTGGAGAGTCCACTCCCATTCCATCTGCTTTCGCAAATCCCAAGCACTTCGATGTGATACCTTCTCATCTCCTTTGCAATCTGGGCTGCCTTACTGGGTTCAAACATCGTGCGGACATTCTATGTCCCCACGTTTACTTTCGCTTTCATCGAAAGAAGACACATCGGCCGATTGGCTTCCCGAAGGCTTTCACCAACTGGCGTCATTTCGCCTCTCCGATTCCAGAGAGGAATAAGTTTGTTTTCAGTTTTTATATTTTGTTTGTGCTTTGAAGTTTCTTTAGCGGTTAGATTTGGTTTACGGGGTAGGGTTGCTAGCCCTATGCCCAACCTTCCCTCTTTACCCGGGCTTAGGACCGGGTAGTAACTAGTGAACTAGTTAACAAGGCGAGGTTCCAATGTGCATACATTGCGGAATTGGTCTTTGTTCATCGATACTTGTGATTTCCCGTTGGTTTTGTTGTGTTGAGTTGCTCGACTTGTGTTTTCAGATGGGCTCCTGTGTGTATGCCTGTACGCTGTTCGGACATTCGTTATCTTGTAGTCTACTTGTTGACTTGCAGGTGAGTCGCGACGCACGTTTCGTTCTATTCGGGACTCGTCAGCTGAATGTATGTGGCGTACGTAGAGGATGTACCTAGTAGATTGCGCTTCGGCATTTGGAATGATAGATACTGATTTCGAATCTCAGTAAGAGCAACACCACTCACTGGGGTGCAGTTACATCCAGGTGATTTGTCTTTGTGTTTTGCTGTTACTGTCATCTATTAAGTTACCTGCTGATATGCAGGTGTAAAAATGCCTGCGTTTCCTGTTTTACTGGTATACTCAACAGAAATATTAAATACAACATGGTCTGTTTAGTATTCTGACGCATGATTATGCAGTGAAATGAAACCTGATGTAGGTTTCCAAATGCCAGGTTCAGGATCTGTTCATCATCGGTGAATGGTTTATATAATGCGAGAAATGTCTCCTACAAGGTCAGAAAACACAGAAGAAAGTCACTAATCTACTATGTTCAGGTTTTTTAGTTAGCTAACAATTGAAGTAAATGAGTGATATATCAGTGAAGCTTGTCATAAGTCATATAACTAACTGTTAGAATTAAGCTGCACCAATGGGGAAAAGTTAGTAAAAATTAACTGTAAAATGAGATAATTTTGATATGATTGAGAAATTCAAATAATCGATCCAAAACTAGTTAAAAACGTGAACTTGAGAATAGGTTTGTTTCGAGCGGGGATAACTAAATTCAGTCTGATGGACTTGTGGTGAGTTTTCAGCAGAATTTGAAATGATTCTTTGGAAAAGTCAAAAGTAAACATCGTTTCAAAAAGAATTTATCTTGCACTGGGTCTGAATAACATTATACAGACATTACTGGTGTCTAAATGCAATGAATGAGTAATTTTGCGAAGTTGGTGCATTCGCCTTTCAAAGACTGCGTTTCGTTTCAAAAGTTGTTTGGGGTTATGGATGTTAGTCATTGGAACAGTGTTTCTGGAGAGGACACCGGTGCAAAAGTACTAAGTAATCAAGTGTCCAGAGTATTTAGAAGAAATTCTTCCCCTTCCACCCTACGGTTTTTCGTCTCTAAGTAATCCATAGATGTGTGAATAACAAGTTACCGTCTTAGACCATTTTCATAAATGTCTATCAGCTTTTGTACTCTTTGAAAGTTGGCTATATTAGGTGTTAGAAATGTATTCTTTAGAAATACATCCTTGAATATTACCCTGCCTGGTTGCTTAAAGGAGAGTGTAGGTCAGTTAAAAGCTGTTGTTTTCAACATTTAACCAACTGTGCTCACTAGACCTCAGAAGTTCGTCTTCAAAACCACCTGTCGAGTTGTATCGAACGCCTAAAAACAAGTAGAGATTCATGATTTTCACGTTACCAGGGATTTAACGACTCATCAATTCAAATCCTGGTATTGCATGCTATTTTACTGGATTTATATATACACACCATCATTACCACTTATTATGATTATCATTTAATTTATTTCCTTCATAATGGTTAACGATACTCTCTGTCTCTCTTGCTGTAAATCATTTTATGGTGGCCTAGTTGTGATGTATTAACCGACAGTGTGTTTGTTTATTGTAACTATAGTCTATGATGGTACAACTATTGAAAATCATTTGAAATAGCTTTGTCTACAAGAGTGGTTTTGATGTAGCGGCATAGTGTGATTGAAGTTAGAAGCATATTTGAATCGTGACACAGTCGGAACGCAGGTCTGTCATACAATTTTTTCTTCTTTTAACTTAAAAATACAATGAGCGTTGAAATTTAATGCTAGTTAACTCATAAGTATAGTTTTTGGTATGTAAAAAACTATAAGGACCATGAATGGGTCTACTCTAATCTACGTTGTCAACAAATACTTATCAAATAATAGATTATACTTATTTTACCTTATCTACTTAAGGTCATGTTGATTACTGTACATACAAAGCAGAGATTATTTATGAATAGTTATGTATGTAAATAAAGTGCGACAGACAGCCTGAAAATAAATCAGAGTTTATTATTCATCTGGCTACAAGTTCTGCTTTCTTTCAGCGAACGTAATAACCATGTGAATCTATTCCAGTTGAAATAAGGATGTAACCATATAGAGAGAGAAGAGATCTGCTTGTGTATGAGTGAATTTTTTTGGTTACTTACCTTTCTTAATGTGTCTTCAAAAGGAAAGGATGGATTCTTTTTCCTAACTAAAAGATGAGGACTCCCTGATATAGTTTATAAAGCAGAACGATATGAAAACAGTACATTCTATGCTTCGAGAAGTGCTCTACTTTGCTAGTTAGTGAAATCGATGTCCTCCAAGGTGCTGTTCTTTATCACTTTCTTTTTCTATTTGCATGACCTATCCACCTCAGCTAAAGCTAACTTTGTTAAGTACGCAGATGACTTGGTAGCAGCCCTGCCGATCATCCCTTCTTCAAATTGTTCTCAGTTTAATAACTTCTTAACCGAAATTGGTCACTGATTTTCTTTAACTGGCCTTACGCTCAATCCTTCAAAATGTCAGATAGTTAACTTTACCTTAAGATGTGAACAAGACCCTCAAATTGCTTCACTCCCATGACTCTTGTCCTATAAACGGCTGTATTGTAGAGAATGTATCAAGTGTGATCCATCTTGGCTTATACTTTTCTTCCTATCATTCTTGGTCCCTTCATATCTTACTGATTTCCAGAAAAATCCTTCACTTGACCTCTATATAAAAAAACAGGCTGTCTGGCCTAACTCAACTTCTACTCTTATTATTATTATTATTATTATTATTATTATTATTATTATTATTATTATTTATTAATCACTTGGGTTTCTTATGGAACATACGGCTTCAGTAGCACGTCTCCAGTGAACTCTGTTCTGCGAAATCTTTTGAACCTGGCTCCACGACAGCCCAGAAGCTCTCATTTCCTCCTCGCACGATCTCCTCCATGTCACCCTCGGACGCCCAACTCGTCGCTTCCCATGGGGATTCCACTCGAGGGCCTGACGCATGATGTCCTCAGTCGGCCTTCTCAGTGCATGCCCAATCCATCTCCACTTCCTCCTGCATATTTGTTGCGTGGTAGGTTCTTGGTTGGTTCGTTCCCAGAGCTCCTTGTTGCTTATTCTTTCTGGCCATCTGATCTTCAGTAGCGAGCGTAAGCAGTTGTTGATGAATGTCTGTAGTTTATTGGAAATCCCTTTCGTGACGCGCCAAGTCTCTGAACCATACAGAAGCACTGACTTGACGTTGGTGTTGTAAATCCGTATCTTGTTCCGCATGCTGAGTGCAGAAGATCTCCACACTGGTTTCAGGCTGATGAAGGCCTGTCTTGCTTTTCCAATTCTGACTTTGACATCCTCGTCTGTGCCGCCTATAGTTGGGACAGTGCTGTCTAGATAGGTGAAGGTGAAGGAGGCTACTTCCTTTAGGCTTCTCCCGTTGATGGTGACTGGAGTTTGTTGTTGTTGTTGTTGGAGTTGTTGGTGCGGTATCTTCATCACTTCTGTATTCTCTATATTCACCTGAAGTCCCGTCTTCGCTGCCTCTCCTGCCAACTTGTTAGTTTTCGCCTGCAGATCCTCAAGTTTGTGTGACATCAGGCACAAGTCATCGGTGAAATCCAGATCTTCTAGGTTCTTTTCCGCTGTCCAGCCAGCGTATCCCCCTCTTCTCGCTCCCCACTGTTTGCTGCATGATCCAGTCGACCACAATCAGGAATATCATGGGGGATAGTAGGAAACCTTGTTTCACTCCTGTCTTCACTTCAAAATCATCACTGAGCTTCCCATTGTGAATTACTTGGCATGTGGAGTCTTCATATAGTTGTTGAATGAGGCGGATAAAGGTTTGCAGTACTCCGTAGTAATGAAGCAGTTTCCAAATTACCTCTCGGTCGACGCTGTCAAAGGCGTTTTCAAAGTGGATGAAGTTGAGGTAAGGTAGAGAGTTGACTGCCATGATGATGCGATGATGCCATGATGAGATGATGCGAAGCGTTGCAATTTGGTCCACATGATTTGTACTTCCTGAATCCAGCCAGCCTGTTCCGGTCATAGTTTTGAATCCAGTGCATCCTTTAGTCTCTCCGGGATGATGCGGCTTAATATTTTGCTTGGGGTGGACAGGAGAGTGATTCCGTGCCAGTTGTTGCAAACACTGAGGTCTCCCTTCTTCGGGAGTTTGACAAGGTAACCGTTTTTTCAATCTGCAGGTACCTTCTTTTCCTTCCACACCTTCTGCAATAGTGGTGTGAGCATGTTTGCTGTTGTCTCTGCATCTGCTCTCAGTGCTTCTGGCGGGATCCCATCTCGTCCTGATGCTTTCCCACATTTCAGTAGCTTTATGGCGTTCAGGACTTCCATTTTTGTTGGAGGATTTATGTTCACTTATAGTTCAGCGGCTGCAGGTGGTATTTCTGGACGAAGTGCAGGTGGTGGTCGATTCAAGAGCTTCTTGAAGTGGTCGGCCCATCGTTTCCTTTGTTTCTCTTCTTTGGTAATTAAATTTCCTCCATCATCTTTTATTGGTTTCGTCTGCGTTGATCTCTAGCATCTACCATCTCTACCATCCCTGGTTATTTGATACAATGTTGTCAGGTCTCTCTTACCTGCAGCCTGTTCTGCTTCACTTGCCAGTGTTTCGTAGAAGTGTCTTTTGTTTTTCCGTGCACTCTTCTTCACTTCTTTGTCCAGTGTTTTATACATTGTGCTCAGTTCCTCTTGTCGTTGAGCATCCTTGCACTGGTTTATCTTCTGTTTCACCATCCTCCT